ACCTTTGACCCGTTCGGTTGTTCCTCTATCAGAACCTTTGACCCGGTTGGTTGACCTCAGTCGTTCCTGTTGTCTGTTAACTTTGTGTTTTTTAAGCTCAGCTGATCTTTTTGTTTCTTTTCTTCTCTTTGGACCTAAAGTCACTGAGAAGTGTCCCATGGTGAATAATAAAAGTATTGAACAGGTTTTATATTCACACTTTCATTAAACACATCAGGCTGCTCTCCCTGTTAAATGCTACAATAGCCCCCTCTAGTGGCTGCAGATGGTAACAGCAGAGGAGATCAGTTTAGTTTGATGGGTAAATGTTCTTTAAAACGATCCACATGTCAGATACCGACTGTATTAAATAAGAACCTTCAAACATGGATGGAGGAGGACACAAATGGGTTGATGCTGATGAAAGAGTTTTATCGATTATACTTGAGGGTTACAGAAGAAAGTCAACAAAGATGGCGGCGGCGCGCCTCATATCTGAGTCACGAGGAAACGCTGCTTTGATCATTATCTCACAGTTTGGATGTATTTGCTCCGGACTCTCAGTTTTCCTCAGAATAAACAGGAAGTACCGCCTTTTAAAGAAAACAAAAAACTACATTTGATCCTCACGTCAGAGCGCCAACAGCTGCTTCTTCTCTAGCTGGAACCAGTTCCCTATCATCCAGTACCACCAGGTTCTGGATTCATGGAGAGCAGAGGTACGACCGTAAATGCTCTCAAACACCCGACAGCTGACGTTCATGAGGACGAGTTTCCCTTAAAACACAGAAAAAAACAGAGGAGAGGTCTCTAGTCTTTGAGGGTCCCAGTGACGGGTCCAAACCACAGGATCTGAACCCACACCGTGGACCCAGACTGAGCCAAGGTCGGGAATCAGTGTGTTGATGGTGAGCCTGTCGGTCAGTCCGAGTCAGTGTGGAGAAGACCTGCAAAGACCACAGGAGAAACACGGTTGGACTTGTTCTTCAGACTCGTACCCTGACTCAGACCTCTGTGGGGGCGCTGCGTCTTACCTAACTGGTCCAGACCATGGTGACCAAGGCCGGGGCGTTGTCTTCAAACAGGAAGTTGGGAGATCGGCGTTTTCGTCCGCCCTTGGTACAGTCCTGGGGGGTAAAAACATGAACTCAGTGTCCAGAATTACGAAGGCTGGACCCCCAGCCCGGCTGAAGGACCAGCCTGTAAGACCCAGCAGAACCAGCAGAACCCGCCGGAGACGGATGTACGGATCATCTCTCATTTTACCACTTTAACAAAAACGGACTTTAATTTCTTGATTGTTTTTATTTTAACGTGTTTGAAGGATTTTATTATCGTTTATATAAGACCAAAGTTTTTATGTTTATTATGATGTCAAAAACTTTCATTCTTTTGTCATGAAAACTACAAAATTCATTAAAGAATAAGGTCGTCATAATTAATATGGAAGTGGATGAGTTACGGTTCGAGAGGCTTGAACTGGAGGAATAAAGGTGTTAGATGATGACGTCAGTCCGTTTTCTTCCTTTAAATAAATGATTCAAACGTCTAAAGTTGTTTTTTATCAGACAACATAATAACTGAACTCATAACCAAATGTTGGGATCCGCCCCTTGATTCTCTTATGTTGCCCCTCCCCCTTTTCTGGGTTTGCGTCATCTGCGTGTTTTCCCCCGTCCTCGTCACTGTGGGCTGGCCGCCTCCTCCAATCACCTCACCTGTACCATCTGCACACCTGTCAGTCATCAGCTCATCAGAGCCACTCCCCTCAGCGGCTCGATAACCTTCTCAGTTCATCAGCCTCCCTGTTGGTCACACCCTGAGACGACCTGCGAGGTTTTGTGACCTCTTCGTTTATTTTACTTTGTTTTTTTTTTTCTGTTCCTACATTCATGTTTTTATCAGTCAGTGTTTCGTTTTCTTTTTGGACGGTTGAATCAAATATTCATTCATTCACTCAGTCTGAGTCTGCTGTGGTCTGATTGTGGGTCCTGCTTACGCCTGACGCTGGGCTTCCACCAAACGGTGTTCACAGTCCCAGACTAGAAACCGGAGCGCCTGAGTCTTACTGGAGTCACAGCGGAGTCACAGCGCTCCCGTCATCCCGATCATTAAGTTTAAGGTAATATCAAACATGCTCGATATTATCGCAAGTCGCAGTGACGTAACACAACCAGCGGATAGTGGAGCTGTGGGCAGGTCAGCTGTTCCACATCAGCTGCAGAGTTTCGCCGACGTGTAAATAAAAGCCGCCACGCCTCAACAATAACGTTTTTTTACGCGCTACTTTGGACTCAGTATGTTCTATATGCGGCGCACACAGGCTGCACCGCGGGGCGCTCGGGCCGAGTATTAGCGTTAGCGAGATCTGAGTTGTCGTATGTGATCACACAGCTGCCCCCCCGAATCACAGATAGATTCCACACCTGCTGGAAACACCGAACCGTCAGAATCCGGTCGTAGTCTTGTGACGAGGAACCCGGAAAGATTCACAGTCTTTGTATATTTTTCGTCGGACAGTGACTCGTGGCTAAAATCTCTCAACACGTGTCTTTAGATGTGGGCAGGTGTGAGTTTTCCCGGGTCCCCGAACTCTCAGAACTCTCCTTCTGGGACACAGAGACCTCTTGACTTCCAGAGGTCGCCTTGTTGATCGTGCCCTTTCACCTCCCTACAGGTGTAAATGAAGGACCCCTGACCTTGGGGTGTGTGAAGGTGTGTGTTAAAGTGTGTGTGTGTGTCTGAAGCAGTACCGGCACACAGGTCTTGTCCTTCTTTAAACCGCACAGCTTGACCTGGCAGTGCAGGTAGACATCGCCGACGCTCTTCGAGAACTGGAAGGTGGTGAAGGAGAAGGAGTTGGAAGTTCCTTTGCCGTTTCCGTCCATTACCACCGTGTTGTCTTTGGCACAGCTGCTCTCAGAGAGGAACAAAAACGTACCGCATCAGAAACCCAGAAACCCTTTTACAAACTGTCTGTGGAGCCGCAACGCTGCACCCGCCTCACCTTTTGGAGATCAGGTAGTATTTCGGGCTTGAATCTGGCTTGGCGTCTTTGGTTGCCCAGCAGGAGTCGATCACCATGGCGACCAACTTCTCATCCAATCCTGTGGTCTTCAACTCCACCCAGACCCTCTGGTTCATATTGACTGATGTCGCAGATACGGAAAGTCCGGGATCGGTGTAAGCCTTCATGACCAAATCGTATGTCCAGGATCCAAAAGTGATAGATGTGACCACAGAGCTGCAGAGCACACACACACACACACACACACACACAGTTAAACTCTGTTTGAAAACAATGGATGGTAAGACGGCAGGAATGTCCAGCACAGCTCATAAAGCCCACCTCCTCCATGTAAACAGATGGGACATGGGTCTAACTGTAAAAACCTAAATACAGGTAAAAACCAAGACTTCTCAGACATGCTGTCTTTCATTGTACTTGACCATCAGTGTTCTTTCTTGACTCAAATCTTCAGCATCTATGGGGAGAACTTTGGTCCACTGGTAGAAGATAGTGGTTTCACTGGAGGAGGGCTCATTACTGGAAAAAGGCAAAGCTTGAGGCCCGGGTACACGTCGGGAAATGCCCTCTCAAGTGTTAAAAAATCATCACTTTCGGCTGTTAAGAAATGGCAAAGTTCCTGGAAGGTGCCCCTCCAGTGAATCCTCTGGTTTCCCTTTTGAGGGACAACATGTCAAAGAGAACTTTCTGGATGCACCTGTAGTGGCCTCTTCAGGGCCTCCCAGAGCCTCTTCACTGAAACAGTCTCTCTAGATGCCTCATCAGTAGATATATCTCAAAAAAGGGCCCACTGATGGATAAAATCTCCAGAAGGCTCCTCTGGATGCCCTCTCAGCACATACACTCTTAGAGGAAAACAAAAATAACAGGTCTTACTTGCTCTTGATCTTGAAGTTCAGAGTCTTGATTGTTGGTTGATTGTGGTTGCAAGAGAAGTCAATGTTTACGCCTCCCTGACGGTCGATCACTCCGGTGGGGTTAGCAGCCATGATGGTGTTCTTGTAGACCACTTGTTTGGCTTCGTTCTGCAGAATCACAAGGAACCACATGTTGCTTGAATACTAATCTGCACTAATCCTACTAATCCTCACTCAGTCCGTTTCCACGACACTTGAGAAAACCGAATTATCGCCTCTCTCCGATGAAGACCGGACAACTGAAGGTCATGTAAACACCTTAGTCCGACTATAATTGGAGTCGGAGAACTCTGAATAAGACACCCAGATGATTTGATTTTCTCTACCATGTAACCAACGTAGTCGCAGTATGATCGGTTACAGGCCACGCCCCCGTAACCCCGTAACAAACCCCCAGAGTAGAGGAGTAGCGTTGGTCTCCTCTTTAGAAAAAGTAGCGCGTCCATCATGTCGGACAAAAACAACGCTGTACGATGCTCCATCTTCTTGTTTCTCCAAAATGCCCAGCAGCAGTTGTAGACACTTCTGACGTCTGACACTAGTGGTGTGTCGGTCTTGAACGAACGGATCAAAAGAACTAGTTCTTTTTGATGAACGAAATGAACTAGTTCTCCCCCCCTAAATGACCCGTTCAATCCGTTCCGTTCTTTTGATTGGCTGAAGAGGGACTGCTTGCCTGTCTTATCCTATCGTCGCGCCTCGTTCTGTGTGTGGGTGGGGCTTAGAGAAGCAGCAGCAGTACTACTAAGTTGACTGAAAGAACGGGTCAAATGAACGAAAGACCCAGACCGATGAACGAGAGACCGAGAGACCGAGTGGACTGACTAATGACCGAAATGACCGAAATGAACGAAATGAACGGGTCTTTTTACTGAACGACCCGGAATGATCCGGTTCACTGAATTGACCGGTTCTGCCCACCACTATCTGACACCGACCTGCTGTTGTTGTTGACGGTTGTATGGGGTCGGAAACAGCGCTGCTGAAAAGACCCATATCGCCCCCTAGTGTTGGGGAGGAGGACACGTTCACGTCAATAATTCAGTTTTCTCAGCTGCATGTAAACGAGGACGAGGAGAGAAGTCTGATTCAGAGAAAAAGACGAGTTATGAGGTTAGTCTGATTAAACTGAGACTGTAAAGGACCTGAGAGAGAGAAACACTTTAAACCAGCAGGAGCAGGAGAACCTCACAGAGCTCAGGGGAGATCCAAGAGTACAGGACTGAGGACAGGACTCACCGTGACTACGGCGCCGCACATGTCACTGCTGCTAAATTCGAAGGTCACCAATCCGTCGTCCAGTGTGCCTTTGCACTTTGGGTCAAGGAGGTGCAGGGTTGTGTAGTCGATGCCTTTTTCTCTCAGGAGACAGTTGATCAAAGATGCTGAAGCAGTGTTCTGGACGCAGACGGTGGGACCCCCTGAATATTCAGCAGCACAGGAAGGAGAGTTACTGACGGTAACACTGATGACTGGATTAAAGAGGACAGACTCCTAAGACAGTCAGTTCACCCTCACGTCATAAAGCTGGAAACTACATTGTGTTTGTGTAACTACGTCACGCTCCATTCAGGTCTGTATGTCCATCTGTTGTTGCCTGTTAGGTCTGACTTTGTCATGTTTCTGTACGTTTTCAGAAGGTTATTCTGGAGAACTGTCTCTCAGTGTTTGTCACTGCTTTGGATTAATGCAGGGGTAATGATGCAGCACTGAACTGGCCTTTGCACCTCTGTGCATGTCTGCTGGGTCAGCTGCACACTGGTAGGTCAAGCCAAGCTGCACAGGACCAGTAAAGGTCCTCTTTGTAGGTTCAACAAGGTTCTACAAGTCCAACACTGCCGCTGCTGTCTTACCCAGGGTTCCGTCGTCTCTGTGCGTCTTTGCCGAAATCGGCCGACAGAGGCATTCGTGGCTGCCTGAATCCCCCAGAGTACAGAACTCATTAGAGGCACAGACGGTGTCCTGACAGAAGGCCTTCGGAGTGGAAGCTGAGGGAGAGGTGGAGCAAAAGACACGTGAGAGACAGTTTTACACCAGATGGTGGATAAATCAGAGACTTTCTGAGGTTTGCTCCTGGGTTCACCAGGATGACAGTGTTTATGAGGTTTGGTCTTACGGCAGTTGGAGGTGGAGCGCCAGCCGTCCACCTTCTTCTTGGTCAACCAGTTGCAGGCTCTGGTGTAGGCCTCCAGGAACTGACAAGGCAGGTTGTCAGCAGCAGGATACTTGCACAGAGTGTCTGTGCAGGCTTTGACGTAGGAATCCGGACTGATTTTTGCGTGGCACGTGGCGGCGAAGGGCTCCTGACTCAGGACGCTACAGCTGTTCACAGGAGAGAAGAGACAGAGTCAGTGCTGTGTCAGGCTGTACAGCTGGGACTCTACCTCATCTGAGAACTCTGCTTACCTTTTCTTTGCCTTTTCACAGTCAATCAGAGGGTCCGTTCGTTTGTCCTCATGCTTTGTTTCACAGCTAGAGGGCGACAAACATCATCAGCTCAGGGGGCGACTGAAGCTCTCACCTGTTCATGTTCACCTACAGACTGATCGGATGGATGGTTCAGGCTGGAGTGTGTTTGCTGTGCACTCCTTCGCTTCCATCCGGCTGTGTCCTGAACTTAATCGTAAATATACTGGAGGACACCTCAAGAGGGCGCTCCGCAGAACTGTACACTGTATTGATTCATAAAGGTTTGTTTATTCTGCATCATTCTGTCCGTTTATTTTCCATGTGTATCAGGTCTCTGACATGCTGCCTTCTCACTGTAGCTGGTGCAATGACGATGAAGATACTCTCTTCTGACCCATTCCTATTATTCTGACGACCATCCAGATTCAGACCAGTGAGGTTCTGTTTGTTCTGGATTTCACTGGTGTGGAGAGTGACGGATGCCTGAGCCAGCTCAGGCGACCATCAACCGGTGGGCAGAAAATAACAGACACACCAGCTGGCTCAATATTTCCTTTCCATGCTCTTCCACAAGAGATTTGTTTCCCTTTAGTTCTGCAGGTTTGCACATTAACCAACCGAGCTGAACTCATCTATCTCCAGTCCTTTTCACTGACATGTTTGTTGTTCTGCAGTTTCTAAGACACATCATCCACAGAAACAGGAATCAGCGGCTCGCATGGAGGGAAGAGGTCGGATTTTGGTAAGGGGGGGAAACACAAACGAATCCTCACAATGTTGTCAACCAAAACCGTACTTGATAACCTAACGCTAATTCTTGCATAAATTCACATCCTTGGGAATTTGTGGTGGAGCCATACTGCACGTACATGAAGTGATGATAAAATCACAAAACATTCAAGAAAGTAAAACATGATATATCTGTCAGTACGAACAAAAAACATAAGAAGGATGTGGAGATCGGGGTCGGGGTCTCACCTGCCTGAGGTGATCCTCACGTCAGCCACAGCTGAGTCTGCTTTAGCACATAAATGCTGTAACCCAAGGTTCTTTTTTGGGGGTCCTGGACCAGTTGAAGACAGAATGGATATAAAGAGATCAGTCAGACACTGTCTAAGACCTCCATCTATTCCTTCAGAATTAAACTTCTCTTCCACAGCTCTCCCTGAATCATGTGTATCACATTCACTGTGCACAGCGTTGAACTATTATAAAGACTTTTATTCTGAAATGTTCAGGTACAATCACAAGTCTAAAATCCTGACCCTGATCTTTGGTGTCTGTACCTGTGATGATGATCTGAGCGGTGTAGCCATCAAAAAACACAGTGACAGTGATGTCCTGGGAGGTGTGGCTGACGATGACTCCGCTCTCCTCCTGACGGACTTTCAACTCGCCCACAGTCTTATCGTCACTCGTTAGGGAGACCAGGGTATCTCCTTCCTGCAGAGGAGGGGACAGTGGGAGCGTTACTCAGACAGTGGGGGGAGCAGAGAAGGAGAGAGGGGAGCAGGAGGAGGAGAGCAGGGAGAGGAGCAGGAGAGAGGAGAGCAGGAGGAGGAGAGCAGGGAGAGGAGAGCAGGGGGAGAGGACAGCAGGGAGAGGAGAGCAGGAGGAGGAGCAGGAGAGAGGAGAGCAGGAGGAGGAGCAGGAGGAGGAGCAGGAGAGAGGAGAGGAGGAGGAGGAGCAGGAGAGAGGAGAGCAGGAGGAGGAGAGCAGGGAGAGGAGAGCAGGGGGAGAGGACAGCAGGGAGAGGAGAGCAGGAGGAGGAGCAGGAGGAGGAGCAGGAGAGCGGAGAGGAGGAGGAGGAGCAGGAGTGAGGAGAGCAGGAGGAGGAGGAGGAGAGCAGGGAGAGGAGAGCAGGAGGAGGAGCAGGAGAGAGGAGAGCAGGAGGAGGAGCAGGAGGAGGAGCAGGAGAGAGGAGAGGAGGAGGAGGAGCAGGAGAGAGGAGAGCAGGAGGAGGAGCAGGAGTGAGGAGAGCAGGAGGAGGAGCAGGAGAGAGGAGAGCAGGAGGAGGAGCAGGAGAGAGGAGCAGGAGAGAGGAGAGCAGGAGGAGGAGCAGGAGTGAGGAGAGGAGGAGCAGGAGCAGGAGAGAGGAGAGCAGGAGGAGGAGCAGGAGAGAGGAGAGCAGGAGGAGGAGCAGGAGAGAGGAGAGCAGGAGGAGGAGCAGGAGAGAGGAGCAGGAGAGAGGAGAGCAGGAGGAGGAGCAGGAGAGAGGAGCAGGAGAGAGGAGAGCAGGAGGAGGAGCAGGAGAGAGGAGAGCAGGAGGAGGAGCAGGAGAAAGGAGAGCACTTGCTGTTCTTTTTAAAGAATTGCTCTAAAAACGTTTGTCGCTGATTAAATGAATTTGATGCAGATTTGTGAGTGTTTGTGTTTAATAATCCTAATCCCGTTATTAAGCCACATGTGATTATGTTGTTGTTGTTGTTGTTGTTGTTGTCATTGTTGTTGTCGTTGTTGTTGTTGTCATTGTTGTTGTCATTGTTGTCATTGTTGTTGTTGTCGTTGTTGTTGTCATTGTTGTTGTTGTCATTGTTGTTGTCATTGTTGCCGTTGTTGTTGTCGTTGTTGTTGTCGTTGTTGTTGTCATTGTTGTTGTCGTTGTTGTTGTCGTTGTTGTTGTCATTGTTGTTGTTGTCATTGTTGTTGTCATTGTTGTTGTCATTGTTGTTGTCATTGCTGTCATTGTTGTTGTTTCTGTTGTTGTCGTTGTTGTTGTTTCTGTTGTTGTTGTCGTTGTTGTTGTCATTGTTGTCATTGTTGTTGTTGTCATTGTTGCCGTTGTTGTTGTCGTTGTTGTTGTCATTGTTGTTGTCGTTGTTGTTGTCGTTGTTGTTGTCATTGTTGTTGTTGTCATTGTTGTTGTCATTGTTGTTGTCATTGCTGTCATTGTTGTTGTTTCTGTTGTTGTCATTGTTGTTGTTTCTGTTGTTGTTGTTGTTTCTGTTGTTGTTGTCGTTGTTGTTGTCATTGTTGTTGTTGTCATTGTTGTTGTCATTGTTGTTGTCATTGTTGCCGTTGTTGTTGTCGTTGTTGTTGTCGTTGTTGTTGTCATTGTTGTTGTCATTGTTGTTGTTGTTGTTGTTTCTGTTGTTGTTGTTGTTGTCATTGTTGTCATTGTTGTTGTTGTCATTGTTGTCGTTGTTGTCGTTGTTGTTGTTATCAAGCAGCCCCATACTGACCGGTGTGTAGCAGCCTGTGCCCTCAGTGTCTTCTAGAGTAACTGTGACATGTTGAGTAAAAATACTTTGAACGCTCAGAAAAAGAGGACAGAGTTCACCGAAAGAAAGAGAGAATAAAAACTTGTTTCACTGCTTCACGGCTGTCATCTAAGAACACAACAGCTGGAGGTCGCTCACCCTGAATCTTCCATTTTGCTCCAGCTTGTACGTTGAAGTCTTGTGCTTTATTATCACTTTGTCTAAAAAGCTCACATCCATGCGCCGCCGTTCCTTGTACTCTCCCTGCACTGAAAAATCTGTGAGTACCGTTGACGACATCAGAGCGTAACTACACCGGTCACTGATAGTGGCGGTTTTGCCGCTGCTGTCCATGACTGAGGGTCCGGTAAAAGTGCAGACGGCTTCAGATGGACATCTAGAGAGGGATGAAAACATGAAAAATACTGAAATACCTGCAAAAATAAAATCAGAGGCAAGTTCTTGTCTGAGCAGGGAAAGGGCAACTAGACTTGCTTGTGGATCTTGAAGACGTTTGGCCTCAGGTGACACGTCTTTAAGATCCTCAAGCAAGTCCAGTTGCGTTGCTTTATCCTTGTCATTATTTGGTGATGCTGACCCATCCATTCAAAGAAGAAAGAGTCTGTGTGTAATCAGAGCTCATGATTTACCCTGCGCCAGACACCCCAATGACATATGAGTCCAGGCATTTCTCCTTTTTGCAGTTAATCTCTTTTTCTTCGCCTGACTTCAACAGGCTTCCATCTGAGAGAACGAGAGTCAACCAAAGTCCATGTTTGCAATGTTTTATATCACATGAATACTCGCATTACTTTTATTATTGCTATCTTCTACAATTGAGGTAATATTCCAAACCTGAGGCTCTGCATACGCTGATCTCCCTTCCAAAGGGGGTATATTTGTCTTCTTGCAGTTGTTTCACTCCGTTTGCATAAATTTCATACGTCTAAGCAACGAGAGACAACACAGACTTAGAGACAGCAGAGGACAATACTGTGATGCAAAACATATTCTCAGTCTTGGTCTGGAGTTTAATCATGATGCTTTCGCAGCTCTCACTGTTAATTAAGAGATTTATTGTAATTTCATCTGCCTACATGATCAGCTAAATGGATCAGTGTTGGAGGAACAGCCTCACAATACTTTGGATCGTGTTCCAAGTGTTGGTCGGAACATTTGCACCTGTTACATCAAGCTACATTCATCAGGTGGCTTTTTAAAGGGACCCTTGTCCTTGTTTATTTAGATCCACAAAAGAGGCATGGGTCAGATTTGTAAAAATTAGAATTGCACTGTTCAGGGTAAGGCAGGTGCTGCTTGTGCAGGAACAGTTCACGGGGAGACTAATGAAGCAACCAGAGCACAGCAACTCTCTGACATCACAGTAACAACAGCAGCAGCAACCTGATGCTGATCCGGTGTTGTGCAGCATGTCTCCTTTCTGCTTTTTGAGTCAAAGTGTCAATCATAGCTGTGACTAAAACTGATCCAAGATAATGTTAAGTGGTACTGCACATGTTGCACAAATACAGGAGAGTCTGCGCCTATCAGAGGTCAGGATAAAGCATGTAGACGTGTTAGTATTCAGTTTTAGTATCTTAAAAAAATGGAAAATGATTTACCCCATTTTACAGACACAAACATGAAAACAGACTACTTCAGTCCAAAACCCACAGGATCCGTGTTGAGCACGTTCCGTCAGTGTCGCGTCTCCACTCTGTTGAGCAGCGCTCTTTACCGCCCACAGGATCAGCGTGTTTGGAGCGTAGCAGCAGCGTCGTGCAGCCCCCGTCAGCTGGGCTCAGTATAGAGGAAACAACACGCTCGCAACAGGTTGTTTTTCCTTTTTGTGGTCGATTTCCTGATAATTCGGATATCATTTAGTGACCGCTGAGCTCTTGCTGTCCGTGAAAAAGCAACGTGAAGTTTCAGATTTTGCAGGTTTACTCAGTTTTGCTACCTTCAGACAGAGTTAGCAGCTAAAAGTCCTG